CCATCGACCAGTGAGGCTTGTGGTCCTGTGTCTCCAACCACTTCTCTTCTGAGAAATCTTGCCTCATCGATCCCAACGTCCGGCAAGGTCCAACTGGTCAGCGGCTCTCTTTCCAGGGAGTTTTCTCCCTCTCTTGCTTCGTTGTCTGACATGGTAAATTTTTTGCAAAATCCCCCCGGCAAGGGTCTACCTTCCAGGTGGATTAATTTTGCAAGTCCTGTCTAATGTAAGGACCCACCCCACTTTGCATCTTAAGAAGACAGAACTCTTGGAATAGTTCTTCCAACAGGAATCCTTTATTAAGAGAAAATGGTTGCAGGCATGCTAGACAGGACTTGGGGTCCCAAGCTCTCCCATTCAAGGTTGTAAGGGGTTCCCCAGTAGTCCCACCCAATCAACCCCCCTTCCAGTGATAGTTTCAAGTATCCCAATTCCACCCCGTTTCTTCTTTCTTCCGTCTGGATGGAGACTTCAGATAACTACATGAAAGGCAAATACTCTTCTTTGTTAATGCTAATGTTCTCTGGTGCTAACACTTTGAGGTTACAATAGGTTACAATAAACACACCTTCAGCATTCAGCTCTTTGAAGTCTACTGAAGGAAGTGAGGGCCATAAAGCCCCTTTGTTCTCCCCCTTCTCTCCCTCTTATGGCAGAATCCAAAGAAGGCAGAATTGGGAGTTTCTATATTTGATAATTAAAGATGAAATATGATTGGATTCTGACACCTAGCTAGGGAAGTAATTCAGATTCAAAAATTGCTGATTGTAGAGGTATGTTTTCTGTGATAATATTCTTGGGAACAGGTACTGATATTATATTGGATAAGTGTAAACTAGTCATGCTGGCTAGCTGGACGTTCTAGTTCTTCTAATAATAAAAATTTATGCTTTTTTTTATAGATCTGTGTGACCATGCCTTACATCTCCCACATGATGAACTGTGAAGTGTAAAGGTTGACTGACCTGGTAGAAGACTTTGCCTAATTCTTTGTAGACTACATCCCTTTTTACAAGCACTTGTAATTATTGTCTCAGGAGTTGTCTTTCAATCTGGGGGAAAGTGCAGAACATCCTAGAAACTGAAGACTAGACTGTATCAGAGGAGAGCAAAAAAAATCCCAAGACAAGTTTCTTTGTAGAATTTTCTGAAGCAAACAGAAGATGATAGATCCAACATTTGACTTTTTTAAGCACACACTAATTAGATTGTTTTGTAAAAGGAAAGAGATTTCTATCATCATCAAAGTCCACTTTGCAGTAGCATTGACACTGTTAATGCGGTCTAGTTTTTAAAGTAAAAAATGCTTTGCGGTTATATGCAAACTCTGACTGCAGATTAGCTCAAGCAACCAGCAATACAACTTCCACATTCACTTCCAAAATAGAATTTGAACAGAAGAATCTTGTGAATGTTACTCTCACTCTTGAACCCGTCTTATTAAAGGGGCAGGACAGTCATTTGTAAAACCTTTCTCTGAATGGGAAAGATAAATAGAACCTATAGAGATGCCCTCATTATAAAGCCAAAGAGGGGACCATTGTATAGCACCTCCCCAGTCTTCAACACAACTGTGAACTATGGTTGTGATGGCCATATGGAGAACCACATAACATTGTTACTGTGCAGGGATTGCTCCATACTGTAGATGGAGTATTTGTAGAACATATCCAGTTGGTTATTACATGGTTTAATTTTGTTGTGTGAAAAGCCACCGGACCTCAAAAAGTGGCCTCTAGGAATGATTGGCCATATTACAGAGATTCTGCACAAAACATTCAGGCCAGATAGCAAGCCGGTCTATATTGTCTATATGTGGAGTGATCACCACACAACAGTCCTTTTATTGTCTTTTAAATTATTACATAAAATGACTGCTACCTTGCTGTGAGATGTGAGTGAGATTCAGGAATCTGCTGATTTGGGGCATCAGACATTTGGAGAATGGGGAAGATGTACTCTTCTACAGGCTTTTTACATCTTTTATAACAGTTTCTTTTAACCTATGTTTTCATGAGAGGATAAAATACATTCCAGTGATGGCAAGATAATAAATTGGAATTGGGACCTAGTCAGATTGGCTACTGTTTTTTTTCCTCCATTTTTAATTGAAAATAATATTAAAGCATTATAGAGCATATTGACTTTACTGCTATTAACAACAATCTTAGATTTTTTTTTCACCTTCCAATGGGGTGGAAGGTGAAAAAAACATCAAATATATAGCCTCCCAAATTTATTCAGATAATGCCCAGAACCATGCTGGATTCACATGCCATATTAAGTCACAATCACACAAATCATATTACAAGCCTTTGGTTTGCTTCCATTATGTCCTTCAACTTTAACTACTTACTGTATCTAATATGAAATACTACTGGTCTGGGATGGTGAAAAAGATTACTAAGACAAAGAATGCCATAATTTACCCTCCTACATAGGAGCTATATACCCATTGTTATGCAGATTTTTAAAAATTCACATAATACAGTTACTATAAAATGATTTTGTACAGCTCATATACAGAGCTTAGCCTTAAAATGATTTGATTTATTATATTGTGCAAACATGGCCAGCTGTAGTTTATTTAGTAAATAATTGTTAAACTATGGTTCAGTACAATATGAACCAGATTGATGTCTTCCTTATATTTTCAATTTCCATTGGAAAGCAGTGAAACTTGTCAAAGCATCAACTGGTTGTATTTTCTGCCTTTATTTAAAAAAATTTTTCATTAGGCAGAAAATGATCAGGTAATTTGCATTTTAAATTATTTACCAAAAGGCAAGAAAAGCAATAAGAAGTCAAAATGTGCTCAAAGTTAAGACCACCACATTGAATTGTGCTCAGAAGCAGACTGGCAACTAAGTGTAGATCAGTGGTTCTCAAGCTGTGGATCGGGACCCCATTTGAGGTCGAACGACCATTTCACGGGGGTCGCCAAACAACGCAGTCTGCCATTTTTTCCCCCTTTTCCTTAGCTTTGCTACTCCCTTTTATTCTATTGGCTTTTGAAAGCCAATAGAATAGACTCTCTTGAATAGAGTCTAATTCTATTGGCTTTCAAAAGCCAATAGGAATTGTCCAGGCTGTCTCTGCCCTGCTGAGCCCGCCAAAAGTCCCATTCTGCAAACGGTGCTGCACCAGTTGAGTAGTCCTCGACTTATGACCGGTTGAGTAGTCCTTGACTTACGACCGGTTGGGGTCGCGGCATTAAAAAGGTTGAGAATGACTGGTGTAGATGAAATGACACTGGGATTCTCACAGCAGAATGTATATTGCTGATCTGTAGTATAGGTTGCTGCATTCTAAATTAACAAAAATTGCCAAACATTTTTCAAAGGCTATTTAGTCTCCTGAAAGAAAAATTACCACTGAGTTATCTCTACTTTGATAGTTGTCATGGCTTCTGTGGATCTTTCTAAAACAGCTCTGTTAATTTGTGACAATCTGGGAAAAAAAGCACCAAGTGGAAATACTGAGATTATGTTTCCATAAGGAACAACCTTCATTCTCAAAGTCAAATTTGTGTGCATTGTATATTCATGTAAAAAAAATGTTAAACATTTACATCCAAAAATGGTTGTCTTGCTAAGATGCTGTTATCCCTCTTCCACTTGCTCTGCATAGAAATTTACATACATTTCTATATAGAAAAGGGATGTCTATATCTTGAATTACTCATGGACAAAAAAAATCTCTTGCATTTAGGAATGCTAAATGACATTTTAATTCAGTTTGAGGACTCTGCGCTGTCATCTATCGGCTGTGAAAGAATACAGGTTAAAAGCAGAATGTGTATTTGGAACTTTGCAGATTTCAGAAGGGTATGCAATAGGTAAGGCACTCAGCCAAATGGAGCAAGAGGCATAAACCAACCCACCAGCTAAGGAAAAGCCTTTGTCCTGCAATATCTCTTGCCTTATCACTCTTCCGATCTGCAATATGTCAATACAAGCACAGTGCTGAGTGATGTTCAACTACAGTACTGCATTGAAAGGAGGCATACTGCTGATTGAGGCCTTTGTAAAAAGCTGAAGGCATGGTGTTTGTAAATTGCTTTAAGGAGAGTTGGGCTTTTCCTGTACTTTTGCTTGAGTCAAAGGACAAGATATGTTCTGTAACTAAATGAATTGATTTAATTGTACTTGTAACAGTGGAAAATTTGAGCCATGTTTGTTCCAGGTGAAACGGTCCTGTGACACATGGTTCTTCCACCTTGCAATTGCTTTGCATTTGCTTTGTAAAGTTAAGTATATCCTTAAAAACTACCCCAATTTATACATTGCATTAAGCTATGTATCAACCTGGCTGGATTCACAATTGTACAAAACCAGTAATGAGCAAATTATTAAAAGGTTATGTTAACTCCTGCGGAGCACAAGATGTGCCTGAGCATGGGACCAAGGTCACAAATATTTTTATTCCTGTTTTAATCACAGGGGAAAATTGGCCTTTTTTGCTGAAGAATTTTAACATTATGACTTAGTAATTCTCTGGAGACTGCAGACCTTTTACCCCTGACTAAACAAAGCTGATATATAAAATATATATACTGTGCAAACCTCACAGTAGCGACCAATGGTGGCGTTACCTAGTCGGATAATGAAACGTTTGCAAGCAAATCAGCACCCTCAGAAACCACAGGGACGCCACAGTTACAGAGAGAGAGAGAGAGAGAGAGAGATTAACTTTTATTGAGAGCAGAACTGCTTCCCACCCTCGCAAAACGGGAAGCCTAGGCTCACTAAACCAACGCTGACAAGCGGAAACGCGCTTGGCGCGCTAAAGCGCCTTCTCCGATGCCTAGATGGGACGCCTCGCTCAACGTTCGACCCCGCCCTTCCCTTCCCCTCCGCGCGCAGCCAGGCCTGCCCATCACCGCCTCGCAGCCAATCGCAGTGCTCCCCCGCCGCCGGAAAAGAGGCGCAGCTCTTTGGGCAATACTCTGTTAATGCTGCTTTGGGCCTTCTCCCAGCCTTGCTCCGCCCTGACGTTGCCAGAACCCAGCCCGGCTCAGCCAGCTCGTCTTCTCCCCTGCCCCCCCCTCCCCCGGGTGTTCGCTGCCTGCTTTTTCTGCCCGCCTCCAGGACGGTCCCCTCACGAGGGCGGCTTCTGCTTTCCCTTTCGCCGCCACGCCAGTTTGGTCGCTGCTCGCCATGACCTTGTTGACTGCCGGTAGCAGGGCGGCCGCGCGCCTGTTGGGAGCCAAGGTGAAGGTTTCCCCCCCTCCCCCCTCCGTTCTGCTGCTTCCCTTTTTCGGGGGTGGGTGGGTGGCTGTTCTTGCGAGCACCATGACTGCTATTGCCGTGACTTGGGCTTGGCTCGGGAGGGGGGGGGGAGAGGAGAAAAAGGGGCTGCAGTCTGTCACCGCAGGGCAGTCTCTCTCGTGTCCGCGTGGAAGTTCTCAGTGCTTCCCTTCCCACGTCAGTGTGCAGACCAGCCGAAGTGCGATTTGGGCAGGGTGTTTTCCCCCGCCCCCCCTTTGGTGGTGCCAGCCCTACGGACGCTTGGCACGCAGAGCTCCTTGTGTCCTTGGGTTGAGATGGGTGACTTTTCTCCATCCGCTCTCTCTCCCCAGCAGCTGCGATGATGAGAGTGCGTTTAAATGTTCTTTACTCTCTTTATTCTCCTTTCTTGTCCCAATGTCGCAAAGAGATTATTATGCGAAGGCTGCGGTTGTGAGGGTGGGGTGCTTTGGAAACGGGCGGGAGGTTGGTAGTTGGAGATCTGGCTCGTTAAAGAAAACAAACACGAACAAACAAACAAATGTCTTTTCTCTCCCCTCCCCTCTTCCTTCCAATACTTCTAAATTTGACCACCTTGGCCTTTATGGTATTCTTTAGGCCTTGGCGGGACGGCTCACACTTTTTTCCGTTCACGTGACCTCTGAAGGGGAAGCTCTTGGATCTCTCTAACATGTTCAATCTGTATATAATATACTCGAATACAATTTTAAATTGGTATTTAGGGGAAAGCTGCATGCTGGGTACTCGTGTTCCTTTGTAAGGCATGAAACTGATACAACTAGACTGAGCTGGTGGAAAGACAGATTGGAAAAATGTGTCTCTATTTCCCCCCCCCCCTTTCAGATCTTCTATATTAATAATCTGATAATTTGTAGAAACTGTCACTGCTTGGAAGGCAGTGAAGTCCACTGTTAAAGTGAGCATTTTCTTTGTCAGTTTCTAGGGAGGGCCACAAAAAAATGAAAAATGAGTTTTGTTTTAAACATAAAACAAAGGATTTCATCCCCCAAATTATTTTGGACCAAGTGTAGTTTGGTAGAAACAAAAGCTGAAATGTTTTTACTGTTCTTTGTTTCAATAGAATAAACACTTGATATACTTCCTGAAGTTCTGTCTATGGAAAGCAGTAGGATTCAGATTAAGCATTTGGGACTATCAAAATCTGGATGACCATTAGATAGCAGCAAAGAAAACCATCCAATTAGAGAAGCTGAAAATGTACCATCTGAACAACTTTTAACCCATGTCCACAATAAAACAGCTGTTTAAAACTGTATCTGGACAAAAAACCTGAAACTTGCTTATTTTGGTTTGTACATAAACCATTTGAAACTAGCTGTTCCTTGTACAACTATTAATATTACATCTGAAGAGGGTTAGGCCTGTGCCTTTTCCTTTGTATAGTAGTAGTATTCCGTTAAAGTTAACCTCTTAATGTCTGATTATATTGTTGATTTCCTAATGTGACAGTGGTAATCAAATACATTGAAGGGGCCAAGTAATTCTCTCACAATTTTTGCTGCAAACTTGCAATTTTAAAGCTATTGAATATATTGGAATACTCAATTATATCTTAACATAGTATATTAGGTAATGTTTATGGGAACATTTTCTTGAAAATGGTAATTTCCCTTTTTGAACATTTTTTGATAATGTTCTCTTTTGGCATACAATCCTATTATATGACTTTTACAGAAAGTTCAATAGCCTGTTTGCTCTTGTCTTGCCAGGGAGTCTGCCCATGATCTGTTTGTAAGGCAAACAAATTCTCTTTTTTTAATCTGGCCTCCAGACCTACTAAGTTCCCTAGCAAATAGATTCAAATGCTGATCCCAGAGCACTTATTTTTAGATTTATTTACCATTCCTGGTTTCCCCCGCCCTGTTGCTGTATTCAGCATTTTCCCCCTAAAAGTTTAATCTGAGCCAATTCTGGGTAGAACCGTGATGTGGTACTTTCATGTACAAGAAACATTGATAGTGAAGACTAGGATGAAAGCCAGATAAACTGCAGTTGTAATGGCCTGCGTAAACTGCTGATCTTTATGTTCTTAATCCCTTTTTACTTTTGACTGCTGTTTTTTTCTGTTTTAGTTGTTTTTATATTTGTGTATTCTATTATCTTCTGAGTAATTGCATTTCCACTACTTTTCAGTTTATTAGATGGAAGTTGGAAGTAGTATTTTCTAGGAATAGGATATGTAACATGTTGTTGGGCTCTGCTGTAGGATTTCTGTGAACACATGATTCTCTTTTCTATGTTAGTTTTTATAAGTGGCAGCAAGTATTCCAGTTCCAGGAGCAAGAAGCGTTATTAATAGCTTGAAGTTTAAATACCTAGCAGGATTTATCATACATGTTTTTTCAGAACCTTTGATACTTTGATAAGTGCTTTCTTTGGAAATGTTCTTCTACCCTGCAACGTATCCTATGGTGTCAGTATGCTTTAGGGAATGTATTCCCTTTCTCCTATAGGTTTCCTCATTTTCTGTGTATGTGTTGGCATATAGAATATGCTTAAGAGCAAATGGGAGGTTGACAAGAAAAGGAAGGATATACTTGCACTACTAGAGTGTAGCCTAATGGCTCCTATATTTATATGCCCACAGATATTGTCTTGCTAGTTATTTAGAAGTGCTTATAAAATGATAAATATCTTTGTGGGTGGGATGTAACTGGAATGATAGTGGGGTTTTTTAATGCCTTAGTTTCATTGTTAGGGAAACACATGTATTGGGAATAGTTATATGTTCAGGAAAATGATGAACCCAGTGACTGGGTTCATGATTTTAAGCCTGATATATTCTATGTCAGTGGTTCTCAACCTTTTTAATGCTGCAACCCCCAACCGGTCGTAAGTCGAGGACTACTCAACTGGTCGTAAGTCGAGGACTACTTAACTGGTGCAGCACCGTTTGCAGAATGGGACTTTTGGCGGGCTCAGCAGGGCAGAGACAGCCTGGACAATTCCTATTGGCTTTTGAAAGCCAATAGAATTAGACTCTATTCAAGAGAGTCTATTCTATTGTCTTTCAAAAGCCAATAGAATAAAAGGGAGTAGCACAGCTAAGGAAAAGGGGGAAAAAATGGCGGACTGCGTTGTTTAGCGACCCCCATGAAATGGTCGCTCGACCCCAAATGGGGTCCCGACCCACAGGTTGAGAACCACTGTTCTATGTAAAGTGTGAAACTTTAGGTTGGAAGTATGAATCCCTGATGCTTAAGAATTTGGGGAGAGCTGTAATTATGCTTGGGCTATTGTCGTGCAATTAGATGCAAACATGATTTACTTGCCTATCCCACTATAATCAGTGGAACAGGTGTCTGCCCACTTTCTATGCACAGAGAAGATATGTTGATTAGAAACTTAGTTTTGCCCTAAATTTCTGTTAAAAGAATGTTGGATATTTTTTTAAAATCACAGTCAGACATTGTGTTCTGAAACTAAAGATGTGAGATTATATTCTATTTCTGCAGTTATAAATATAATTGTGTATTAAATGAGGAAAAGAGGGGTAGGCAGGGCTTTTTTTGTCATAGAACGCCCAGAACGGAGTTCCGGCACCTTTTTTGGATGGAACCTTGTAGGATAGGCAAGGCGGGTTTTATGATGTGTGTGTTTTTTTTAAACAAAAAAAGCACGGGGGGGGGGGTAGGTAACTAAAAGTAAAAGGAGGAAGGAAGTCCTAAATGTCAGTGAAGTAAAAACTATTAATTAGGCCTAGGCCATTTTGAATGGACCCCTTTTCCAAGAGCATTATATAGAACAATGATAGGGGAGGGAGGGGAGGGAGGGGGAGGTAAATATGCTTGTTATACAACAAGTAGGCCGGATCCAGAAACATTTATTTGCTGTTTGGCTGGAATGACTTAAACAACATTAAAAAGCATTATAGAAGCATTAAAATGTATAGTGTGTTCAGTATTAAACTTTATTAACAGTATTAACTTTAAAAAAGACATGGAATCTAAGAATGAATTAATACATATCCAAAAATAAAAGTAAAAATTACAAAATTTTCACTCACTAGTCATTTAAGGTTTGTTATATGTTTAGCCAGTTAATATATATAGCTTGTTTTAGTTCCCAAAATGTAAAAAGGACTTTTTGATCTCAATTTATACCTGCACATATATGCTTATGCTGACAAAACATCCACTTGTTGGAATGGATGAATGAAACAAATTCAGCTTTACTTTCTTTATAACCTTTATTTGAAGTTAGGGACATATATTGATGTTCCTAAGAAGTAAATTTTAATACTTGTTGATTCTTGAATTAACCAAATTCTGATCTCTGGAGTTTCCCAAGTTTAGTTTTTGTTATATTTAAAACAAAACAACCCCCCCCCCCAATAAAAAACCCTAAAAGCAAATAATACTACACAGATATGTTTTCTTATAAATAAATGTAGTAATTATATTTGACAACCCTATTGTGTCAACTTCAAATAAGCAAAGGTGCTTGATTATATCTTGTGTAAGAGACTCTCCCAGCTGTTTAGACAATAGCTTCTCTGCTCCTGACAGGTTGTTTCAACAGCTTCACTTTGTGTTGTCATATTAGTCTTGATCCATACTGTCATTGGGGCCACTTTTACTCTTCTTCTTGGGTAAGGTTGAAAGCTGTGGAAGAGAAAAGGAAGAATAATTGGCATTGCCGAACCTTGGTTTGAACTGGTATCCTCTCAGTGAAAAGAACAAGAAGAGCCAGAGGTTCTTGCTTAACCAGCTGGAGAGGTTTCTCCACTCGGTGAATTAATAGCCATGCTCAGATTCATTGGTAAGGTTGCATCATTCAGGTGCTGATAACCAGGTTAAAATGACACGCAGGCACTTGACTGGCCTTGTCTCACCTTAATTGTACTCATGATTGGATGATGTACAGTTTGTCTGCTCATGGTGCTAAATATTGAGGGTTGTATGGTTATTGGCATTTATTATGACAGTGACCTCTAAATAATG